CAAGGAAGGGTTTATATGTGGAGGGAAACTTTCTTTGTTGGTTGCCATGGGTAGGAGGGGAGGAAAGGGAACACTGCAAAAAAAAAAAAAAGCACTGACCCATGTCACTTCAGTTTTGTGTATTTTACTGTATATAAATTCTATTTCAATAAAATGCATTTTAAAATAAAGATAACATCAACAAATTCATACTTGTCAATAATTACATTAAATGTCAATGACTTAAATGCAACACTCAAGAGACTGAGAGTTCCAGAATGGATAACAAAGTTTAATCCATCAACGTTAGAAAGACAAACACAAATAAACTAAAAATCAAAAGACTGGAAAGAGATATACCAAGCAAATGGCAACCATAAAAGACCAGGAGTGGCAATATTAATTTCTCATAAAACTGACTTTAAGACAAAAACTACCATAAGAGACAAGGAAGGATATTATATACTGATTAAAGGCTCAACTTAACAAGAGGACATAACCACAACAAGTATCTATGCACCCAATAAAAGAGACCCAAAATACATAAGACGTTAACACAACTAAAAAAGACAAAGAGATGACACCACACTCATAAGAGACTTTAATATACCACTTTAATCAAAGACAGAACAACTGCAAAGAAACTCAACAAAGACACACAAGAGCTAAACAATACAATTCATCAACGTAACCTTACAGACATCTACAGAGCACTTCACCCAACAACAGCACAATATACATTCTTTTCCACTATGCACACAACATTCTCCAGGGTAGACCATATGTTAGGCCATAAAGCAACCCTTAATGAATTTAAAAACACTGAAATACTGCAAAGCATCTTCTCAGATCACAGTTCTATAAAACTAGAAATCAACAATAGGAAGATCAATGGAAAAAGAGTAAACAAACCATAATTAAATAACACCCTCCTTGAAAATGACTAAGCAATAGAAAAAATAAATGAAATTTAGAAAATTCCTTGCATCAAACAAGAATGGAAACACACTATACCTCAATCTTTAGGACACAGCAAAAGCAGTAATCAGAGGCTCATTTACACCAATAAATGCACACATCAATAAACAAAGAGTCAAAATCAACACCTTAACCCAACATCTCCAACAATTAGAAAAAGAACAGCAAGAAAAGCCTACAGTCACCAAAAGAAAAAAATAAGAAAGATTCAAACAAATAAATGAAATAGAAAACAGAAAGACAATAGGAAAAAAAATTGACACAAGACTAAAAGTTTGGTTCTTTGAAAAAGATTAATAAAATTGACAAGCCACTGGCAAATTTAACAAAAGAAAAAAGGGAAATAATACAAACAAACTGGGCGACATCACAATAGAAATTAAAAGGATAGTATCAGGATACTACAAAGAACTATTGTTGTTGTTTTTCTTATATGCCATCAAGTCAGATCCATCTCATAGCGACTCCTCCTTGGGTTTCCCAGGTAGTATCACTACAGAAGTAGATAGCCCAACCTTTCTTCTGAGGAATGGCTGACGGGTTTGAACCACCAACCTTCTGGTTAGCAGTCAAGCACCTTAGGTACTACATTACCAGAGCTCCTATGAAGAACTATACTCCAACAAATTTGGAAATCTAGAAGAAATGGACAGATTTCTAGAAATATACTACTTACCTAAAATAACACAGCCTGAGGTGGAATATTGAACAGACCCATAGCAAAAAAAAAAAAAAAAACTGGACAGGTCATAAAAACATTATCATAAAAAAAAAAGCCCTGGCTCAGATGGTATCACTGAAGAATTCTACTGAACATTCTGAGAACTGACACCAATCATACTCAACCTATTCCAGAACACAGAAAAGGATCAAATCCTCCCAAATTCATTTTATGAACCAAGTATAACCTTGATACCAACACCAGGCAAAGATAGCACTACAAAGCAATACTACAGACCATTATCTGTCATGAATATAGATGCAAAAATCTTCAAAAAAATCCTACCCAATAGATTCCAACAACATATCAAAAAAAAAAAAAAAACATTATAACCAAGTGGGGTTCATACCAGTTATGCAAGGATAGTTCAACATTAGAAAAACAATCAACGTCATCCATCACATAAATAAAACCACATGATCATATCAATCAATGCAGAAAAGGTCTTTGATTAAACCTAACACTCATTTCTGATTAAGGAAAAAAAAAAAAACCTCTCAGTAAAATAAGAACAGAAGGGAAATTCCTCAACATAATAAAGGGCATATAAGCAAAACCAACATTATTCTCAAAGGAGAGGCTTAAACCATGCCCCTTGCGAACAGGAACCAGACAAGGATGCCTTCTATCACCACTTTTATTCAACACTGTACTGAAGTCCTAACCAGGGCAATAAGGCAAGAAAGGGAAATCAAAGGCATCCAAATTGGTAAGGAAGAGGTAAAACTATCCCTATTTGCTGATGATTTGATCTTATAAATAGAAAACCCAAGAGACTCAGCAAAAAATCTACTGGAAATAATTGAGAGATTTAACTTAGTGGGAGGATACAAGGTCATAATACAAAATTAGTTGTATTCCTTCTTCTACACCAGCAAACAGACTGCTGAAAAAGAAATAAGGAAATCAGTATCATCTACAACAGCTAACAAGAAAATAAAATACCTGGGAATCTCACTAGGGACACGAGACCTATACAAAAGAAACTACAAAACACTACTTCAAGGAACCATAGAGATCTACATAAATGGAAGAACATACCATGCTCATGAATAGGAAGAATGAACATTGTGAAAATGTCAACACTACCCAAAGCAATCTATACATTCAATGCAATCCTAATCCAAATCTCATCAATATTCTTAAGAATATGAAAAAATCAATTACTAATTTTATATGGAAAGAAAAGAGACCTCGGACAAGCAAAGCACTACTGAAGAACAACAAAGTATAAGGTCTCACATTTCCAGATCTCAAAACCTACTACACAGTCACAGTAGTCAAAACAGCCTGGTATTGGTACAATGACAGAGACAAAGACCAGTGGAACAGAATTGAGAACCCAGAAATAGATCCATCGACCTATGGTCAGCTGGTTTTTGACAAAGGACTGCAATCAATTACATAGGGAAGACATGGTCTCTTTAACAAATTGTGCTGGGAAAAGTGGATATCCATTTGCAGAAAAATAAAACAAGATCCGTACCTCACACACACACACACAAACTAACTCCAGATGGATCAAAGACTTAAATGTGAAACGTAAAACTGTAAAGTTCCTCAAGGAAAAACTAGGGGCAAATTTAAGGGCCTTAACTGATGGCATAAATAGACTGTTAAGCATAACCCAAAATGCACAAACAGCAGAAGATACACCTTCTAAATATAAAATATTTATGTGCTTTCAAAGACTTCTTTGAAACTGTAAAAAAGAGAGCCTACAGATTGGGGAAAAAAATATTCAACAATGACATATCTGACAAGGGACTTAACTCTAAAATTTATAGAAAACTCCAATACCTCAAAAACAAAAAGATTAACAATCCAAATTCAAAAATGGGCAGAATACATGAATAGACACTTCACCAAAGAGGATATCCAGGCAGCCAACAAACGCATGAAGAAATCCTCATGATCATTAGCCATTAGAGAGATATAAATCAGAACAAAATGAGATACTATCTTGCCCTAGCACTAGTAGTAAAGTTCAACAAGACAGAAGATAACAAACGCTGGTGAGGATGTGGGTAGACTGGGACTCTCATACACTGCTGGTGGGACTATATAATGATATAACCAGTATGGAAAGCAGTAAGGCAATTCCTTAAAAAGCTGGAACTAGGAATACCATTTGATGCAGCAATCCCAGTACTAGGTACATATCCTAAAGAAGTGAGATCCTGGACAAGAACAGATATATGTACATCCATGTGCATCACAGCATTATTTACAATAGATGGAAACAACCTAAATGTCCATCAACAGAAGAATGAATAATCAAACTATGGTATATACACACAATGGAACATTATGCAACACTAAAGAATAATGTAGAATCTGCAAAACACCACGCAACGTGGATGAACTTGGAAGACATTATGCTGAATGAACTAAGTCAATCACAGAAGTAGAAACACTGTATTAGTTCATTATTGTAGAAAGTCAAAGAAGGGTTAGTAGATTACCAGGGGTTGGAGGCAAGGAGAGGAAACTTGACAAAAATTTTAAAAATGATAATAATAATTTTTTTAAAAACCCAGTCTGGCTCTGTAAGGTGTACATTTCTGTACTTTTACACAGAAAGACAGACTCCTCAAGGTACTTTCCACTTCATGAGATAAAATATTTCTTTTAAAAATTTCAGTTTTTAGGAATATGACAAGCTAAAATGTCAGCTCTATAAGCTCACTTTTTTTTTAGGCTACATTATTTGAAGATCACAAATCCAGGTTACTAACCACCTTTACTTTGATAATATTTACGAAAATTACCTATGAAAATGGTGGCTACTTATTAAATAACTAACATAAGACATATTTCAGCAAATATTTAGAAAATAGCCAACATTTACTGGCACTTACTACATGCCAGGCAATACCTTAGGTACTGTCTACACTAACTCATTTGCCCCTATAATAATCCTATGAAGTAGATGCTATTACTAACTCAGACACAAATAATTTATGTATATATGCATTTATATGTATGTCCATAAGGCAAAATGTCTGAATGTGCACACCAAACTGATAACAGCAGTTAAATCTTGGGAGAAAACTCTAACTGGGCTGAACAGTCACACAGAATTTCTACTTTATAATCTACAAATTTTTTTAAGAAATCTTCATTTCTTCCTTCTGTTAAAAAGTTCTGAAACAAAAACGTATTGCATATAAAAGAAATTAATTACACAAGTAAGAAGAAATAAAGAATAAAAATAGAATTGTTACTGGCATGTAGAGAGAATGTATGATGATAAAAGCCCTATGAAAATAAGTACCAAATCAAACTTTGCAAAGTAGCAGAATTTTCAAGTTCATAATACCTGGTTGCTTTCCCCACACCCAGCTCTCCAGGATTGATCTGGCCCTATATGCGGGCATAGGAGTTTCTTCCTCATCCTTTTTCTCTTTGTCATTCAGATCTTCTTTCTTTGTTCCATTCTGACTATCAATAGCATCATCTGGAGAAATAAAAGCAAAATCTGTAAATTGCTTTCCAAAATGTAACATTTACTCTTCATTCTCTTGGCAAGTGTCCATCTCAGAAATGAAGAGATACACCATACTTCACAAACTGAATGTGTAATGAAAAAAAGATATGATTACATGAACCCTAACTGTGACAGCTTAGTTGTAATTTACATAGGAAAGCATGACCGGGGAACTCTTTTCACAGAGAAAGTTGTATCACTCAAATTCTCCTTTAAAATATGTCCTTTAAAATAATATTCTATAGCTCCCACTCTAAGATGGCAGAATAAGCAAATACACTATCCAAACTCTCTACAACACAGATGCAAAACAAGGGAAACAGCTACCATTGGTTGGAAGCACATACTCCAGCACAGCAAGTGCTTCGTTTCTGCAGATCATGTTTGCTGGGTAGCACTTTCAACAGTACTATGATGTTTTTCTTTCTTCCTTCTTCTTAGTTCTTCCCTCTTCACTGTATCTTTTTTTTTTCCTTCTTTTCCTTTTTATTCCCAGCCCCACCTCCATGACCAAGAGCACCTGATCTACATGGAAGGCAGAGTGTGCTCTCCCAGAGTCAGCACCACATTTCTGCTGGAAATGTGCTTAGCAGCTAACATTTGCACCAGATTTGTTTTTCTCCTTTATCCTTTTAACGTTCTTAGTCCTTCCCACTTTCCTCCTTCCCCTCCTTGTATATTTTTTTCTCACTTGCTCCCACCATTTTTTTTCTATTTCTCCCTTTTACATTTTGTTGTTATTGTTCCAGTTAAGTGACTACACTACAACCTACCACCTCCGTGTTCAGAAGTGCTGCTGCTGACCCTCCCTTTTATGTGTAACTCCATGAAGTGAGTGCCATATTTTGACCACAGCCATGTGTAGCTATCACTTATGCCAGTGCTTGCTGCACTTGTTTTTTGTTTTGTTGTTGGCTTTTCTTCCTTTTCTCTGTTTTCTTTTCCTGTTTCTCCTTTACTATTTTTTCTAGGTCTCCACTATTGCCCCACATTATTGGGTATTCTTTTTTCCTTTCTTTTTTTCCCCTCTTCCCTCCCATGTTCCTCTTTTATGTCTCTCTGTGCCTATCTTTCCCCAGCAGTTGACAGCCAGTTACCCTAACCAACCATACCCACCCAGGCAAGTGTTACCTTGCACTCCACAAGACTGAATTGACAGAAGATGGCAGCCAACATGAGCCCAGCCTGCCTTCAACTGCTCTGCACAATGAGCGATCACAGGCATATGTACACACTCCCACTTCTTACCAAATCTACCCATAGACAGGTGGTAAGTGCACCAGTGCAGCCAAACTAGTAACTAAAATAACATAACCATGCTGTAGCCTGGATATTTTAAAACACAGCAAAACAGGAAGATCAGGGCAAAGCAAACAAACATACAATCAACAAATTAATACAATAACACTGCAATGTCTCAGAGAAAACAGAAAACTTCAAATCACACAGAAAAAATGTACAAGATGTCTCCAAAATATGACCAAACTGCAGGGCCACAAACTCTTGTGAGAAATAATGCTAGTGGAATTTCCTGATGAGGAATTAATATATACATATATATATATATACATTTTTAGGTACCTTTAATGGATTTAGAGAAAGTTTGAAGAAATCAAAGACAAAAATAGGGGCAACACAGACAAAATTCTAGAAAAACTCAAAAATACAGTATAAAAACAAGTTGACAAAATGAATGGAAAATTAGAAATCCAAAAGATTAATACTAAATTTTCAGAAATAGATAACACATAGAAAAGAGTGAAAAGTTAGAGTGCATCAATGAAATAAGTTGTTGTTGTTGTTACATGCCGTCGAGTCAGGCCGGACTCATAAAGACCCCTCCTTGGGTTTCCAAGGCAGTATCACTACAGAAGTAGACTGCCCCATCTTCCTTCCGAGGAGTGGCTGGTGGGTTTGAACCGCCAGCCTTCTGGTTAGCAGTCAAGTGCCTTAGGCACTATGCTACCAGAGCTCCTCAATGGAACTTAGAATTAGCAAGATTGAAGGCAAGTCTTTCAACACCAATCTGCTAAGGGAATAATCGATGAAAAATAAATTTATAAAGCTTAAGATTCATGTGTGACACCATCAAGAGGAATAACTTATGTATGATAGGCATTCCAGAACAGGGAGAGACAAAAAAAAAAAAAAAAAAAAAGCACCAAATAAAGTATTGAAGATTTGCTGGGAAAAAAACTTTTCTAATATCATGAAAGATGAGAAGATACGAATTCAAGAAGCTCAAAGAACCCTAAGTAGAATAAACTTCAGAAGAAAATCACCATAACATACCATAACTAAACTTTCCAAAAGCAAACACAAAAAAAGAATCATGAAAGCAGCTTGGGAAAAACAAAAAGTCACCAACAAAGAAGAATCAATAAGACTAAGCTCTGATTTCTTGGCAGAAATCATGCAGGCAAGAAGGCAATGGGATGACATATACACAGCCAACCAAACCAAACTCAGTGCCATCAAGTCAATTCTAACTCATAGCAACCCTTCCCTCTTTGGGTTTCTGAGGCTGTAAATCTTTACAGAAAGAGAATATCCCATCTTCCTTCCATGGTACAGCTAGTGGGTTTGAACGACCAACTCTCTGGTTAGCAGTCAAATGCCTTAGGCACTGTGCCATCAAAGCTCCTTACATATACAAGAGCAAAAGAAAAAAAATGCCAAGCAAGAATTACATATCTATTAAAACTGTCTCTCAAATATGATAGTGAAATCATAACATTTCCAAGGTAAACAGAAATTAAGAGAATTTGAAAAAACCATACCAATCTTACAAGAAATACTAAAATGAGTTTCCTGGACAGAAAACCACCAACAGCAAACAACAACCATAGGTAAGACATATGGCAACATCACCTGGAAATCAACCCACATATAAAAAAACAAAAAAAAAAAAAAAAAGTAAACTTACAACATGGAGAACAGGGAACCAAAGATGGTAATTTATAGAAAACTGTACCTATAAGGCAAAAAGAGGGAATAAATGATCTTGTTACAGATCTAAACAGAGAAAAAGAGTCAAGAGAGTATCAGCACAGAATAAGCTGATCTAAACTTGGGAAGATAACAAATTACAGTGTACCTCAAAGAAAATAAATAAATCTTCACACCAAAATAAAAAGAAAATCATAAAATCTCAGTAAACACAAAAACAAGAGCAATGAAGAAAATGGTTTAAAAAAAAAAAAATCCACGAAAACAATATGCTGAGGACAGAAAAGTACAAGGAACATAGAAACTATGAACACCACACAAAAAAAGTAAAACGTCAGAAGTAAATTCCTACCTACTGATAATTACCTTGGACATAAATGGATTAAACACACTAGTCAAGAGACAGACAGAAGCAAAATGGATAAGAAAACATGACCTATTGATATCTTGTCCACAAGAAACACAATTTAGACACAAAGACAAGAATAAGCCAAAAATCAAAGACTGAAAAACCTGTATTAAACAAATGGCAACAAAAAAGAGCAAAAGTGGCAATACTAATTTCTAATAAAATGGACTTGAAAGATAAAACTAGCAAAAGAGACAAGGACAGATGTTACATGATGACTAAAGAACAAAGAGGACAAAAACCATAATAAATATTTACATTCCCCATGAAAGAACGCCCCAAAAAATAAATCAAACTTTTAAAGAATAGAAAGGAGAACCAAACACCACCACAATAACAGTAGGAGACTGAAATACACTACTTTCAATGAAAGACAAAACTAGAGAGAATCTTCACAAAGATATGGAAGATCTAAACAACATAAACAACTAGACCTCATAGTTCTATACAGAACACTCCACCCAACAACAGCACAAAATATATTCTTGTCCAGTGCATGTGGAACTTTCTCCAGAATAAAGCAAACATTAGGCCACAGAGCAAAACTCAATAAATTTAAAAACAGAGAAATACTGAAGTAAAGGTCAAATTTAAAAACACAGAAATACTATAAAGCATGTTTTTGGATCATAAAGCTGTAAAATAAGAAATCAGAAACAGAAAGATCAAAAGAAAAAGTCAAATACATGGAAATTGAATAACACAGCTTTAACAATACTGGGTAATAGAAGAAATAAAAAATGAAATTAGGAAACTCCCTGAATTGAATGAGAATTAGAACATAGCATAGCAAATACTTTGGGGACACAGCAAAAGCAGGACTCAGAGGACAATTTATAGGAAGAGATACACACATCAAATTAGAAGAAAGAACCAAAATCAACACCATAACCAAATACCTCCAACTATTAGAAAAACAAAAACAAAAACAGCCTACAGTCACCAGAAGAATAAAAATACAGATTTAAGTAGAAATAAATGAAAAGAGAGAAAAAAATCAACAACCTTAGAAGTTTGTTCTTTGAAAGGATTAATAAAATTGACAAGCCACTGGCAAAGGTAACAAAAGAAAAGGAGAAACTGAAAATAACACAGTAAGAAATGAAACAGGTACTACTACAAGAGAAACTACTGAAATAAAAATAGTAACAAAATACTATGAAAAACTGTACTCCAACAAATTTGAAAATCTAGAAGAAATGGACAAACTTCTAGAAAATCACTACCAACCTAAAGTAACACAACCAGAGGTAGAAAATTTGAACACACCCATTACAAAAAAAAAAAAAAAAAAACCCTGAAGAAGTCATTTAAAAAATCCCAAGGAAAAAAAAGTCCTGGACCAGATGAGCTTCATTGGCAAATTCCACCAAATGTTCAGAGAAGTGATGACCCCAATTCTACTCAAACTATTTCACAACATAGAAAAGGAGAGAATACTCCCAAACTTAATTCTATAAAGCATACCCCTGATAATAAAATCAAGCAAAGATATACCTGTTTAGAAAACTACAGACCAATATCCCTCATGAACATAGAGCAAATATCCTCAACAAAATGCGAGCCAACAGACTTCAACAACTTATTAAAATATATATATATCATATCCAAG